CTTTCTTTCTTTCGTTCGGGCTATGGAGAAGAGCTGGTGCTCGTCTCCGGGCTTCACTCTCTCTCGCTCTCGCTCTCTACTTGTTTAACCAGACTTCTGGGTGTCAATTCCATGTGAGCGAAGATTGCTTCAGCACACGCACACGCAAGCCTGAGGAGTACGACGCAGCGAGGCCTGACCTTTGTGCATGCTGCCCTCACTCCTTCTTCCACGCGTTGTCCACACAGAGTGCGTAAGTATGTACGGCTGCGTTCTTCTTGCTGTGCTTTGCTAAGCCGCAAGCCGAAGTGGCTGAATATGCAGGGCTTCGGCCATTGACTGCACCCAACAACAACTGAGAGCGGCGCTCTGCTCAAGACCTGTGGGCAACTTTGCTCATTGCTTGCAGACCCTCTCCAACAACAAAGGTGCATTGGCTTTGGAACCATGTTTGCTGCACACGCACTATTCTTGTTGGCGCTTCCCGATGAATTTGACAGATTGCATTCAAACATCTTCATCACGAAGGCTCCTTTCTTTCGGTTGTCTTGATAATGCTACTTCCCGAATACGGCAGAGACCTACAGCCCCAATAAATACATCTCACACCCCAAAGTCAGGCTATTGGCTATTGGTGAAAGAGCGAGCATTTCTGCCATTTGTGGGGCTTGGGCTCCTGTTCTCTGAAGCATTCGCGACTTCAAGGTTGCAACGCAACATGCGAGCTTGCCTGCAGAACTTCTGCACTTTGGCCAAGCTCATCAAGCATGTGGTCACCCCAAAGCTCATCTGAGCCCAGGAACCTGAGTACGAAGTGCGCCAAACACAAAGGAACGGTAATAATCTTCTCGCTGGGGATGAGGCTCCAAAAAAGCAGCAGCTAGCACGCGATCCTTCATGCCGAAGTGTAACTGCCTAGCTCGGCTGCTAGCACATCTGGCACCTTCGGGCCATAGAATTTATTGTCCACGAAGTCAGCCTCGTAGAACCTAAGAGCAATCATGTACAGTGCAGGACCGACGTCGCTCAACGAATGCAGGTTTGACAATGGTTCCAGGCACCAGTGCAGAGGTCCCTTCATTCAAACAATACTGTGGTCAGGGATGACCTGATGATTTTGCAAGCTGTGCCAGAAACAGCTTTGAAGAGCCTGCAGCATGTTTCATTCCCAAACCAACTCCAACCCCCATCCGCCTCGGCTCCTCTCCAAGACCAGGCCAGGACCTCAACAAGCAACGCACTGAATGCCCACATGAGTCTGTTTTTTGCCTAAGCCCCCCAAATATCCCCCTCGATAACCTCTACAGTAGTCCTCTATAAATAATTCCCTAGATAACCCCCTTTAAGGGATTTAGACCACAGCTCAAATCAACACCTTCCACCTTTGCGACGTTAGGTCACCCTGCCCTGTCGAAGGTGTGGAGCACATGTCCTGCATTTTGAAACATCGCAAGCTCTTCAGGCTTTGCTGATCTCCGCTGGGTATTTTATCAATACTTGAAGCTCTGCTCTCATATCTTGCACAACATACTGCAGTATCGAGTCTCCTTCAAGAACCGGCAGGCGAAGCAAAAATGCAAATGTGGGCTCGCTGATAACAAGACGCGCTTGCATATCTGAGCTCCATCCGGATACAAGCATTCAGCACAGAGGTGTCCTCTCTCCTGAGTGGCACAATACCAGCGCAGCTTGACGTGGGACTTGCAAGGCATGAAGCATGTACAAAGCCAAAAAAAGACCCAAAGCATCCTGAACAATGAGGTAGTCAGCACGGCAACATCAGCATTGCGTCGGCGCATGTCTCCATGTATACGTGTGCCCATCCATCACTCCATGCATCCGTCCATGCTAACCGCACGCAAACCATCGCAAACCGCATGGAAACCTCACATCACGCCACCAACCTCACATCCCATCGAAGACCTCGTGTAAGCACTACAACAACCTAATCACATCATCCGTTCGCATGATTCCATCAATGAAACGTCAAACCATCCAATAGACAACCACCTCCACGGAAAAACCCTTCAAGATGCTTTCGGGCGCTATGTAAGAGAAAGACACGCCGAGAATTTTGATTCCAAGCAAATTTCTGAGGATGCTCCAGAGCCAGAGCGGTCGCTCCGAACAAAACGCTGAGGACTAGCGTCCGCAGGCACCGCAAACTCTGCAAAGGTTGCCGCTTCCCAGCAAAAAGCTGAGGACGCTCCAGCAGGAGCGTCTGGAGGCGCCACGAACGGCGACGCGACCAATGAGAAGGCTGCTGGTTCCGAGCAAATTGCTGAGGACACGCCGCGAACACTGGGCAGGTTGCCAATTCCGATCTAAATTGTGAGAACGCTCCGCTCCTCGCGCTAGCATCACAACATGCCGGAACCATGAGATGGCAATCAATTCCGACCCAAATTCAGACGACGCTCCATGCAGGAGCCGCAAACACTGAGAGGGTTGTCGATTCCGAAAAACATTCCGAGGACATTCCCTGCGCCAGCGTCAGGACACGCTGCGACCACTAACAAGGTTGTCGATTCCGAGCAAAATTTTGAGGGTGTTCCACTGAATCGATCGTCGATTGCGGCCCAAGGACACCCGCGTCTTGACACGCTGGGAACACTGAAAAAGTTGTGGATTCCTAGCAGACTTCTGAAAAAGCTCCACGCCCTAGCATCACAACACGCCGGGAACACTGAGATGTTTGTCGACTCCCAGCGAAATTCAAAGGACGCTTCACCGGATGCGCCCCAAACACTGAGAGGACTGTCGATTCCAAAGTGTTTTGGCCCCATAAATGGCTCAGAATAGACCTCAAGCAGTCCAACATCGTGAACTGGATTACGGCTGGATTTCACTGCTTGATTCGACCTGCGGGCTCTCTGCCTAAAAATCTTTCGCATTTGCCAGCGCGATAACATGTCTAGCGGACGCTCTGTCCACGACAGGGCTCCATTGATGCCACTTCGCTCTACGATCCTGCTGTCACTGCTCGTGACACTCGGACCCTGCAACGAACCCAAGAGCAATAAACACTCAGCGCATCCATCCACATGCTCGCACTGCATCAAGAGGAGGTGATCACAAAAAAAGATTCTGAAGACACTCCGTGCGCCAGCGTCAGGACACACCCTGAGACGCTTCTTGATACCGGGCAAAATTCTCAAAACATTCCAGAAACGCTCCACGCAGGAGCTCAATTTGGAAACGACGTGGCGAGACCCGCCAGCCGTGCCCTGTGCTTCAAAAAAAATCATTTAGAGCCATACCCCCACGAATCACCAAAAAGAATACGAAAACTTCACATCATGCCATTAAACTTACATCCCATCCACAAAAACCGTAAAACAAGGTGATCACATAATCCCATTCCCATCATCCCACCAAGCAAACCTCACGCCATCCTATCAATCAAACATCAAGCCACCCTATTAGACAACCACCTCGAGCGAAAAAAACTGTGCCACGCTTGCGGAAAAATGCGTTCGCATCAACTGAGTCTCAGACTTGCTTGCAAGCTGGTCGAGTTCGAGCTCCGGCGGCAGCTCGTCCCGGACTTCCTTCAAATCTGCGCTTCGGGTTATCGCAAGTTAGTAACCAAGAGCGCATGTGGCTGGGGCCCAAGCACCCCAGGCATCTCCACCTGAACATGATGCGATGAAAAGCAATACAAGGACCCAGAGAAAAAACCTCCAGGCAAAGTCCTCAGGCCGGTGCGGAGGACGGAGCAAATGATGGGCATTCCTGTCTGGCGTCAAGGCCAGGCTAACACGGATGCTCTGGTTCTGGATTGGCTGCAGTGACAACATTGAAGGAAAGTCAGTGAAAGGAGCACATACCATCAAGACAAACTCGGGATGCACAAAGCCTCCGCCAGCTCGAAAGAGGCACCGACCACGGTCTCCAGAACTGCCAAATTTGCACGGCTTGTGTGCATTATGACTTTAGACTGAGGAAAGTGGCACTAATAGTAGCAGCTCACCATCAAACAGTTGTGCTGCAGCCACATGATGACGCAAAAGTCCAGATTCTGGGAAGCACAACTTTTTGCTTGGCTTGATCCATGGATCCGGCAGGTCGTGACTGGACTATTTACAGCGTTGTCTGCTAGTAGCGGGGCTTCTTACAGAGGACGAGCACTCCCTTACACCCTGACATCTTGAACGAAAATCAGCTCAATAGTTGCGTCAGGTCAGCGACCTGCTGGAAGCAGCGCCGCGCAGCAAGAAAATTTTGTGACTCTAAGCACGCGCTGCAAGATCCGAAAGTTCTGCAGCCATGGCAGCTGTTCTTTCTGCAGACATCTTTTACTCACTCTGTGAGGGCTGCTATGCTTAAGTTGCATGCATGCCACGACTTTCAGAGGATCCGGGCTTGGCAAACAGCTCACCAGGAACCACCAGCCTAGCAAAGGCTGCTAAGACTGCGAAGGCAGATCACGGCAAGTTTTGTAAATGAAACACTGAGGCGCAGGCGTGCCCCCAGCCACCCTTTGCCAGTCCAGCGTCTCCATTAACAGGACCCCAAGCACTGCTTGAACCCTTCTTCCAATTGGCCTCCCAACCACCTTTGTTCCAGGCATCGCCGCCTTTGCCTTGGCCATAGCCTTTGTTCCATGCCAGCTCCCCTTTCCAAGCCTCTCCGCACCCTTGTTGGGGCCACATCTCGGCGCCAGAGCCTTTGCCTGGCTGCCACCCTTGACAACAGCCTCCTTTCAAACCACCTTGGGTGTAGCCGTTATAACAGCCACCCTTTCCACAGCCCGAAGCGCAGGCGCTATCGCCACCCTTGCCACAGCCAGAACCACGGGCACCTTCACTGCCCTGGCCATAGGAAAAATCAACACCTTCGTAGCCGCCCTTACCACAGCCACATCCGCAGCCGCCTTCGCAGCCACCTCTACAGGCGGATCCGTAGCCGGATCCACAGCCCGGTGTGCAGCCGCAGCCACTCCCACAGCCACCACAGCCTTCCCATCCCGCTGCGGCCCAAGCGCCCCAATCGTAGCTCGCACCATAGCCGACACCATCACAGCCCGCCTGTGAGGATACTTGCACTTGTGCAGTTTGGGCTGCCTGGGCCGCCTGGGCCGCCTGGGCCGCCTGGGCCGCCTGGGCCGCCTGAGCCGCCTGGGCCTGGATAGCTTGAGCTGCGGCCCACTCCGCGTCAGAACCGGTCCAGGCTTCACCTGCAGTCACTTCTAACGCGAATGCTTCCTGCTACCCTTCATCCAGTGTGACCTGGAGAGTGGCTACTGCACCACGCGGCAGCCACAGCGGGAGCCTCTCAGGAAGCTAAGTTGGTAACGTGTTGATTTGTTTGACTTTTTTGAGGGGCTGGGAGCCTGGAATAAAACGCCTCACACGATAGCGCAATTCTGAAGCAAAAAATGTGAAGATTTATGGCAAACTGATGGAAAATGATAGAAATGATGAAAATGATAAAAATCACAAACATGATGCAAAATGATGACGAGTGATAAGAAGGATGAAACGATGAAAAATGACGACAACAAGTGAGAAAGTCATGAAAAATCATGGAAGATGATGGGAAATGACGAAAGGATAGAGAAGACATGATGAAATACGATTAGAAGTAATGAAAATTATTGAAACGTGATGAAACGGCGTTTGGATCCAGGTCCGAGTAAGTTTGACCCCTTCCAGTGCACGTTTTTTCTTTTTTTAGGGGGGCAGGAAAGGTTCGGCTCGTCGGCTGGCTTCCGCACAGGCTGGGGTGCGGTTGACATGCAAAATCCCTCTAGGTACCAGCCCAAAAACACGGGTTTGGGGGTGTGGGGGAGGATGGGTCGGGGGGTCGGGGGGTCGGGGGGTAGGGGGGGGTACCGGGGTAAGGCGTGAGCTGCGGTGATCCGCAAAACCTCCCCTTACTGCGAACCTGGTGATGACATGATGCGTCTTTTTTATCGCAAGCATAGACGGCATGAAAAAGCCGGGGGGTCGTTGGGGCTTGCATTTTAAACAACATGATCCACGCAACCTTACCCTACTGCAAACATGGCGGTGACATGATGTTTCTTTTGTCGCAAGCATGGACGGCTTTCAACAAAAAGGGGCGGTTGAGGGGGGCGCAGCCCCCCCATTTGCAAGCAACGTGATCCGCACAAACTTACCTTACTGCAAACATGGTGATAACATGATGTTTCTTCTTTATTGCAAGCATGGATGGCTATAAAAAGCGAAGGGTTTGGTGGGGCAAAAGCAGCACCACAGTTCCAGCGCACAGGAATGATAAGTGGAAAAGAATTTCGAAAGCATCACGGGACCAGAGGACCAGGTGACCAAGCCACATTGGAACGCTTCAAATGCTGCAAATTACAGCTCTGGCTGGTCTTGGAACGCGTGAAATACTGCAAAGTACAAAATTTCGAATGCTTCAAATGCTGTAAATTGCAGCATTTGCTGGTCTGGGAGCATTTCAAATGTTGTAAAGCACAGGATTTGAAAGGGACCGGAGGGCCACAGGACCACTGGACCAGAGGACCACGGGACCGGATAACCTAAGGACCAGGAAAAAAAATGAGATGAAGTCCCAAAAAAGAGCCCTCCGTTGGACATTCCAAGCAGCCAAGCCCACCAAACTGCATGCAACGACCCATGAACTTACAAGATCGCTTGCCTGCACTGCCAACACTTCGTCAGCAACTCCAGGCATCGCCTAGTAGCAAGTTGTCTCTTGCTGGGTTGCAGCAAGTAATACTAAAGACCTTCAGACTGATCAACAACGGCCCAATTGAGTGTGCCTGAGCATCCTCTGAACCATGAGGCGAGGCCGGGGCTCCTACGCGGGTGCGCTACTTGATTGCTGCATTGCGAAACCAATGGTAGCATGTGCACTGTATGAGTCCTGAAGCGACGGCATCATCCGATGCCACCTACAGCCAAAGGGGAGGGAGGGAGAATGGAAGAGGCAGGGGAAAGAAGGGAAAAAGGAGAGAGGGAGAGACTTGCTCAATGCAACCACCCTGCCTGTCCCGTAACTGCCACAGACCTGCAAATGGCACACGCAGAAGCGAGATCGGGTTTTTCCTCAGGTCCTGCTTAGGTCAGCAAAGGCCCGCACGCTTCAGAGGCTTCCCTGGCATCGCCGACCGGAGCAGCACCCGCGGCACCTGGAAACGACAGCTAGACAACAAAGGTGTGACAAGCGGCAGTGCTCTCTGTTGCGGTGTAACCTGCGACTCTTTTTCAACATCATGCTTGATGTATTCTTGTACTTCGGGCACTGAACCAGTCTGTACATGTGCCGGATACGCGGGCGGTATTTGAACATCTCCGCAGGATCACACAAACCACTCAATTCCACCCTCCGCAAATCCCAGAGTCCCTGGAGCAAAGGATTGCAGAGCGGCGAATCTACGAATTGCTTTACAGGGCAGGCTCTTGTGTCTCTTCTGTGAAGAGCATTGCACTGAGCACTCAGCGCCCACACAAGGCCTAGAATCGAAAGTTGTGCTTCAGGTTGCATGATTGGGCCTCTCGCAGGTCTGACAAAAGTCCCGACACCTGGACAAATAAATGAAGGACTGCGAAACCGTTGTAGGCATGGAGACTGCGAGAGGCGAAAAGCAAGCTTGCCCAGTTCTGCTTGACTGGAGCATGTTTGAATTGCAGTACGGACACCTCGACTTGGCAAACCAGAAGCCACTTCAACTGAAACATTTGTCCGTATTCTTCCAGGTGTCTGTTTTCTGAGATTAGGGAAGTACATGCAATCAGCTTCCGCAAAGGCGAGGCCCTGCGTCAGAGCTCCAAAGTGCAAAGCACTGGCATGTCCTCAAACCTTCCCATGGTCCGGCAGCCTTTCTGGCATCACACGTAGCGGCTTACAGGCGATGCAAGATCCTCTTTTGGGCTCAGCCGCCGAGAATCTCCATGTCCTGCCACTTGCATGTCTTCAGCCGGCCTGAAAGACACTAGATAACGGCATGTGCAGGTACCTTGAGACGAGGCCTTCTTCGGCCCGAGGCTTGCGCCCAACGGGTATGACGAGTCTGATAGCACCTCGGTGCCATCAGCAGCTCTGCTGCCAACCGGCGTGCAACTTACGGTCAGGGTCGCACCCCACATTCACCACAGGCCCTGATTTTTTCTGGTCCACCAGCCTGTCGTCACACCGAAACTTCAGTTCAACACCAGCATGAGCTGAAGGCAAAGCAGCTTCTCAGATTCTCAGCCTTGCATCCAAAGCCTTCGAGTGGGTTTGGATCGTCACCACAGGGCTCATTGTCATATCGGCGCAATCGTATGTAACCTGGTAATGCCGCATCCGAAGATACAAGGTGAATACTTGAAAATCGCATGTTCACTAAGCGCAGGAGTGATTTGCTGGTTTTAAATCCCAGTTACCGTGTTCGCCAAAGGTGTCTCCCCACGAGTTCCTGGCAATGCAGCACAAGCCAAAGTTACAATTTCGCATACAGCAGCCATCCTGATCAGCCAGTACTTCGTCCCATTCTCGATCCCATATCCGTCCAGTACCACGGCATGATTGATGTTGGGAGCTGTCTTGTTGCAGCCATCGTAAATGCCTGCCAAGTTTCCCTCTCAACCTGCAATTCTTATGCCACTTCAGCCACAATTGTCACCAGCTTCTTCCTGTAAGTGGCGGCAAACATCTCAGAACAGACCTGACAATGGAATCCTCCCGAGGTTTCGAGGTTTCGAGGCTCCGAGGTTTCGTGGTTTCGAGGTTTCGAGGTTTCGAGGCCGAGGTTTCAAGGTTTCGAGCTTTCGAGGTTTCGAGGTTTCGAGGCTCCGAG